TTTTTTTTATTTCCTTCACCTTCCACCCACCGCATTTTATTTCTGCCGCTCACGTTCGACTGTCACCGTTTCATTCAACTTTCATTCACGGACAAACGGCCCCCTCGCCGATTGTATTGGCGGGGCATTGAATGCTCTCTGCCGTTTCTATTCAACATCTATTCCATCAACCGGCGTGGAATTACTTCGAACGATTTCACCGGCCGCTGAATAAAACAAATAATGCCCGGGCATGTACCGGGCGAAAGTAGACAACGTGAGACAAAAGGGGAGAAATTGTTTTTCGGAGAATCGAGCGAGGGCGGTGGAGGAGGGGGGAGGAAGAGGGCCCTTTGTCGAACTGATTTGCTAACTGTCATCCCTTTGCTAACTGCCATCCACAGAGAACGGAACGCGCGATATGTTTGTGTCAATCTTTCGAGAATCTTGCGCTTTTCGATGTCCTGAAACGTGTTGTCTCGCGACGTTGCTTCTTCCTCGTTACGGATGACTGCGACAACTGATAACTTACTTTCTAATTTACTACCTTCACTTCGTGCAACAATAACGTGAGCGGCAGTTCCACTTTTTCGGTTTAAAATCGAATTTCTCTGTTTTCCAGTAAATACAACTCACAAGTATTTGGAATATTCGTGGAATCTCATCAGACTTTCGTCAGGAAACAATGGGGAAAGAAGAAATTTGCTACTTTGACTAATTACAATAAACATAATTCGAATATTCATAATTCTACATCTCTTAGAATCTCATCGAAGTTTCGTAAGATCAGGAAACAGTGGAGAAAAACAAATTTATTACTTTAACCTTCCCCACCCCCGTTGCCAAACACCGCGAGTCAAGAATTTCGCGAGAATAGCGGCTCGTTAATTTATGAAAATACAACGTGTGGAGAACATCAAGCAACGATAAACCAGACTGGATAAACATCCGCGCGAAAATCCCACTATTTATTCTCGCCGATACTTTTTAATCAAGCAAACAACCCTCGATAACTCTCCGAGAAAGTGAGAGAGAGAGCTGCCATTAACATAAATTACATCTCGCAATGAATAAACGAATTTTATATCGCAGGATATTAATTCCCTCTCTGTGATCCCGATAATAGATTTTCGTTGTGAATATTCCTGTTTAATTTACAGTGTTAATATTGTTGCATGATGAGACTGTTAAATAAACTTTGCAATCCACCGGCCAGGCAAAATATACACGTCACTGGTGTGTGTGTGTGTGTGTGTCCCTCAGGACTGGCTACCGGTCGGTATCCGTAGCTGGACGCCCGTGTACATCGAATGGTCGAGGTCCTCGAAGGCAGGCCTCAATTTCCGCGCGGCTTACGAGTTTATCAAGGACAGTTACTGCGGTTATCACACAACGACCAAGCCGGAGGGCGAGGTGAACGGCGGTGACCTGGCCAGCAGCGGTTTGAAGCTCAATCAGTATTACCAACAGAAGTGCACGTGGATCTTGGACTCATTGACGGATCGACAGCTGACCATCGAAGTGAAATCTACCCAGAGCCGTAAGAGATCTCTCATGTCGTTCTTATACGAAACGTTCACATTCTGAAACATTCACTCTCGAGTCGTTAGTTAATTGGTTTAGTTAAAAGGAAATTGGTTGAACTAAATCTTTCGTAGGCTTTAGTCCTTGGAAATTTTTGAATATCAGCAACTTGGAGGTCCACTCTGTTGCCGATGAACTTCAAGATTTCACATTGATTTTGATTTTCTCATCCCGTCTCGAATATTAAGATTGATTCGACCTTGTTCAAACAAATACCCAATTGTTACTCGGTTGATAGAGGAACTTCTATATTTGTGAAATGGACAGTTAATTAAAGAGCGAACTGGTCGATTTTGGTTCTCGCAAATTTATAACTTGATACAACTTTAAGATTCAACACGTTGGATCCATTCCAAAATTCCGTATTGTCGAAACTTGATTTTGAGATGGTAAGATCCCTTCAAACAAATGCCCAATTGTCACTTAATTAAAAAGAAAAAGCTTGTATATTCTTGAAATGGACAGTTTATAAGAACGAACTGGTTTTCGATTTTGGTTCTCGCGAATTTTAACTTGCTTCAAATACGTTGGATCCATTCCACAATTCCGTGTTATCAAAATTTAATTTCGAAATTGCATTAAGATCCCTTCGACCGTGTCAAATAAATCTGACAATATCCCAATTCTCTCTCCCCGCTATCCCCAAAAAACTCAGACAGTGTCAATTTTAACCCCTTGCGCTGGCAACTGTTCGCGGACCATAACGAGTGACCAATACCGTATACAATAACTCGTCGCTTTCTTTTTCTTTTAAACTCGTTGGTATGACATCTTGATAGAAATTACTAAGAAGTAATATACTTATCATTTGTTTTGCCTACATTTAAACATACTTAAACTAATTATAATTATAATAAATGTAATAATAATTATATAATAATATAATTAAAATTATTATTATAATTATAACTACAATTATTTAAAATAATTATAATTATAACTATAATTATTTTTGAAATAATTATAATTATAATAAATATAATAATTATTATATTACATAATAATATAATTAAAATTATTATTATAATTATAATTACAATTATTTAAAATAATTATAATTTTAATAAATATAATAATAATTATATTACATAATAATATAATTAAAATTATTATTATTATTATTATTATTTTGAGTATATTTAAGTTTCTTCCTTTTACTAAATCGCTTTCTTTTTCTTTTGACACTCGTCGGTGTGACATCACTGGATAGAAATTATTAAGAAGTAATATACTAATCATTTGTTTTGTCTGAGTTACGTTTAAACATACTTAAAATAATTACAATTATAATAAATATAATAATAATTATAATTATATATTAATACAATTAAAATTATTATTGTATTTATAATTATAATAAACAACTACATTGAATATACTGAATTTAAATACACTTAAAACTGAGAAAATGTTGCAATTTTGGGACACAAAAAGACTCTCGACGTGCGTGGCACATCACTCCAGCGCAAGGGGTTAAAAGCATCAGGAAGCAAACTGAAGAACCAGCGAAACTTGTGTCTCTCGAATTCTCAATCCTCTCTGAAACTGAAGGGTTCGTCGTAGACGATTCACCTACGACGAATCAAAGGCAGTTACCTACCGAGGCGACGCTTTGTCCCGTCATCCTGGTCATCCAGCGACAATTTTTCGTTCAATTCGTGCCTTAGCTGTTCCGCTTGGCGTTTCGATCCGCGCCATTCAGTCTGTCACGGGTGCGAATCGGAGGGCGGAAAAAGGCCAGCGAACGAACGAAAGCAAACGGGGTAAACAAAAGAGGAGAAAGATCGGTGGAACGGGGGTTCTTCCGCAAAGGGGGGAGGGGGCGGGGGGAGGAAGAGGGTGAAAAGGTTGGCTGAAGAACGAATGGCGGACAGAACTGGAGATTAAAGAGACTATTGGACGCGGCAGGACAACGAGAGACACAGAGTGAGAGAACCGGTCTTTAAAGCGTTTCGTTTCCCTTTCTCCCTCGATTTCCTCTTTCTGCCGGTGCTTCTTGGTCTTTTCTGGCGCCCCAACGACCAACCGTTGCAAAGGAACGAAGCAGCGACTCAGTTGCAGCGAGTCAGCCTCAGAAATGACTCTCGCGCACGAGGGATTCTTCGAGAGTCAGTCTCTCTCTCTGTCCCTCGGTGTCCATCGAGCTCGATAATGTTTCCTTTTATTCCAGCCAGATTCCTCGACACCACCGAACTTCCAACGTTTCGCAAACGATGTATTTACTGAGTAAGAGCGACTCGGTCCTCTGCAACATAAATGTACATAAGTGCGTTTAAACGCTGTATAGAAGGTGGTTTTTTTTTTTTTTTTTTTTTTTTTTTTGATAACTTTAAAAGCGTATTTCATTTCATCTTTGTGATTACTGAGTGGCCAATATTTTCTTCTCCTTTCTTGGAACGTTCGTGTGTAAGTCGATTTTTTTTTTTCTTATAGGAGTTTGATTTGAAATGTATAAATGCAGACGTACTGTCAGTCATTGTTTAGAATTTGAAAATATATAAGATACTTATATTATATACAGGAAAATATATAATAAATATATATGTAAAATATATATATAAATATTTATATATAAAAAATATATATAAATAAAATAAAAATATAATATATCATTGAAAATGTATAAGATAAATATATAAGATACTAAGAGACTTTTTAGCGAGTTCCTGTGACAAGTTAAATTTTCATACAATTACGAAACTTCGTGTTTCAATTAAACGAATCTTCTTTGATTTTGATCAATGGCTTTGTACTACTTGCTCGGGAAAAATTGAAATTCAACCAAGAAAATCAAAGAGAATATTAAATCTAAAAATTGGAGGGGAAATAACCAATTCGCAGCGAACTACTGACTAACAAACCGGCACGGCAAAATGGGAGCAGCCGAAACGAAAGAAACGGGACCCAAATTAGATATTGATTAGAACGGAAAAACGATGACGTTGGAAACGCAATATTCTGCCTGTCTTTCATCAAAATTTTGATCGGAATTTGCCAAGGCTGCATGCACCGCGAAAAATACAACAGCACCGAGCTGTGCATTAGGTTTCCTCGTCCAGGGAAACTCGGAAACTCACGTTGATCCATCGACTGAAAAAAAATATATATATGTGCGTGCGTGTGTGTGTGTGTGTGTGTGTGTGTGTGTGTGTGTGTGTGTGTGTGTGTGTGTGTGTATATACGACAAATCCCTGGGTGCAAACTGTAAAACGAGAAAAAGAGGGATGGGGCGATTCGCGATTTGCATGCGTCAAGAGTTGAAATTTTTTTCAAGCCATTGATATTCAAACATTTCGTGGAAATCATTGAAAGGGGTCGTGAACTACGCGTATGACCAAAAAAACGAGAAACTGTTTCCCTGTTCCTCTTCCCGGGATAGATTTATCATTCGTAAAGCAACAACAAACAGAAAACACGTACGCGGGCCAAAAAATAAAAAGAAGGAATAAAATAAAATAAAACCAAAAAATAGCGAAAGTCTACCGGGTATTTCCGTGTATGCGTGTATGTGTGTGTGTCTGTGTATTATTTTCCACGCTTCTTCGATATACTCGTTCAGTTTTTGTTTTCAATGCAGCAAAATACAAAACAGTTTTGCAAATGAAACAAAAATTTGTCGAACCATGAATGACGCCGAAGAAAGTGAAAGGAAGTAAAAAAAAAAAAAAAAAAAAGAAAAAGAAAAAGAAGAAACGGAATGTAATACGTAGAGAAACGCGCGAAAATTATAGTCTCGAATACGTTAGCGGAGCAATCGCCTCCAATTATACGCTGGGCCTCGATGATTGCCGGGACATCGATAGTCGATCCGATCCTTTTCACCGGCGCGTCAAATGCTGTATCCGCGGCAATTAATTGTGAAACGACCTCCCTTAATTGGTTGTCCGGGGATGCGTTTCGTTTCTCGCGTCTGGTGACACGGCCGCACGTGAAAAACGAACGTTCTCGATGACGATTCGACAAATATATCCCCTTGTCATCCCCCGGTGTTTGAAAACACATTCGACGGCCGAGAATCAATTTTCAATTACCAGAATTTGAACTGCGGCCGGAGCGTGACAACTAGAATTAGCCGAGGATTAATGTACAAAAATTGCGTCAAAAAAAGAAATTAGAAGAACAAGGAATAGGAAAAGATTTATAATACTGTTGGATTCCGTGTAATGGATTCAACGCGCTTGCAATTTAGAAGAGTTTATTCCCTTACAGTCGTGGTCGTGTATGAAATAGAATGAAAGAGAATGTTATACAATGTTTAATGCTCTTGAATGTAATGTAGAATGATTTAGAATGTTTGATGCTTTTAATGATATAGAATGTCTCTATGATGATTTAGAATGTTTTATGCTCTTAATGATATAGAATATCTCTATAATTATTTAGAATGTTTTATGCTATCGAATGTTTCTAAAACATGTCCTTATATATATATTTGGTTATCGTCAAGTGGAAGGGGAAGGAGCATAGATGACCAACTATTGGGTCCTTGCCCTTATAACTAACTATTCACAGTCCACTTTTATGTGAACAGTTGCTAGCTCATTGTCAGTATTTGCATAAATTCAATTAAATAGATATTGTCCGAGTTGGTCATCCAACAATACGATAGTGAACACGAGCTTTTATTCCATATACTTCACCACTCGAATTTCTGCAAAAATGTAACATTGTAAATTCGCAAAGTTACTCTAGAAAATTATAAATTGGTCATTTTAACTGTTTTGACAGTTCCAGTGTTGAAAATATCTTCTGGTCATCCAACAATACGATAGTGAACACGAGCTTTTATTCCATATACTTTACCACTCGAATTTCTGCAAAAATGTAACATTGTAAATTCGCAAAGTTACTCTAAAAAATTATAAATTGGTCATTTTGACCGCTTTGGTAGTTCCAGTGTTGAAAATATCTTTTGCATAGATAAACACGAAATAAAATTTCGACAGAGTATAAAACAGAATAATCTCCGTGACGTTTTTTCACGGAAACGTTTTGACAAAGAAATCCCAAATTTCAGAAGCACAATGGCGCGCAAAAATTGCAACGAAAAATAAGTTTGCACCCTCCCAAAAAAAAAAACCATCCACTCGATTCTTTCCAGAAAACAAAACAGCCCATCTGTGTAATCACTCCATGACTCTTCTGTTCTTTCGATTTTCTCAATTTTTTTTTTTTTTTTGATTTTCTCAACTTCTCGTTTCTCCTTTTCTTGTCTGTCTTTCTTTCCCTTTAGGTCCGTGCACCGCCTGGAACTTAACGATACACGAGTACAGCAAGAACGGCGATCCAGCTGGACCCAGACTGTACACATTCTGCTCGAGGAACACGCACAAAAATTTCACCCTCCCGTGGAAAACCAACACTGTGGTGGTTAGGTGAGTTCTAGCGTAAAGTGCGTGTTTTTTTAATTTTGTTAGGGAATTTTCTGCAAAGAAACTATTACACCTTTTGCAGTCAAATTGACAAGATTTATTCGTACGTATTTCAACGACGTTTTGAAATTTTTTGGGACGAAAAAAGTTAAAATTAGTGGCACTGCATACTCTGAAACAAGGTCGTCTCACGGTGTCCATGATTCCGGTCATTCTGCTTGTCAGAAGTAAAAAAAAACGTGAATGTTCCTCAATTAGTTTCGCTATAACAGGTACCAAAAGAAAAGAAAAAAATCGGTAATTGAAAAAAGTGGCGATACTTTGAAATTCGATTGTCGATTTTTGCATGCTTTTGTTAAACTCCGGAAGCCTAAAGAAATATAAAAAATAAAATTTTTTGGTTGCTTCTGGTAAGGGCTATAGTCACACATGTACTTAAAATGCGTACTTAAAATTTTGAGTCAATTGGTCGAGTAGATTTTGAGATATCATGGACACCGTTTCAAACATAGTTTCCAGAAAAATGCCTTTAAAGTTTAGCATTGCGGTAACAATGACGTCCCTCAAACAATCATAACTTCGTTAATTTTAAGAGTTCACACGTAAAGTTATAGAGGTTTATTTTTGAAACTGTGCTCTTAGAAGAATATGCAAGAAAACAAATCGATTTTGTTCAAAAGTTACACTAGAATACCCCCCATAAGTTATCCTTGCTCCGATCAGCCGGAAATTCGCGACATTTTCTTCTGAATTATATTGGACGAAGATTGGTTTTCATACTTAAAAATCGATTGCGCGGAAAGATTTGTCCAACGCACACACCGCTGTGCGGAATCGGGCTTCGAAGCCGGATAAGTCTCGCGGAGATTACGTGTGTCACGGTTTCTCTATTGACGTTTCCTCAACGTACGAAAATCCGCGAAAAGGAATTCCTCGTACGATGCTCCGCTTATAAGTCTGACGAGAGATATCGTTTTGTTTTCGCTTCTCGCGAATCAGAATACATACAGCGTTCCGGCTCGCTTCTGATGGAGAGTCGAGAATGGCGATGCGTTGCAGGGAAATACGTTACTTCGAAAACGCAAAGAAACTCGGAAAGATCGTTCCCTTTGTTCGTCTTCTGCGTGGTCGTTTTACTTGCCCGTTGAAGAGGCTAACATTGATCATTGCAAATATATCTCTCATTTTTCAAAGTGTTCTGCAACCGTTTCGTCCTTATACTTTGATTCTTTCGAAGCACAACAATCGTGGGCAACGTCAATTTTTTCGAAAAAAGAGAATAAAAATTGAGTGAATTTAAAGAGAGGATTTTAAATTGAAACGCGTGCTCCTTATGTTTCCGTCCGAATGTCGAATAAATATGAACTGTCCAATTATGTTGCAAATACAAGCATTTATCCTGTTCTTAAGGGAGTATTCTGGTAATCCGGCTTTAAAAAAATCAATTCTTTTTTTACATTTTCTCAAAGTATATGCTTTCGAAAATGTCTATGCAAAAGGATTTGTTTGAATTTGCAAAATTAGCAAAGTTATAGATGTTTAAAGGAAACGGTGTACTGCTCGCATATTTTTGTACAACGGCTAACAAAAACTTCAAATGTGTTTGTTCTCCAAAAATATTCTATTTTGTAATATTATTATTTATTTTTATATTATTACTATTTTATAATATTCTATTTTTTGCGTTTTTTCTCAAATCCATATTTTTTTAAACTGGCTGACGGGATATCTCACGTTTTAGTTGACCGATTGACTTGAAATTTGGTGGAGATCCTCACCGGACGTACCTTTATCGCATGAACCACGGATTTCAAAATCTGATGTTTCTTTCTATTTTCTTTTACCACACAAACGGCGAAAAAGGCACAATGAAAATCGATATTTTAACTTCAAAATGATGCCATTTCTTTAATCTTCGAAATTTCGCTGTTTCCGTGGTTCATGCGATAGCCATATCTATACCAATTTAAGAATGCATTCTGATTTTTTAATTTCAAATAACCTGGACCGGGATCACAGTCAGCCATTCGAACATGCTTTATTTAAGGCTATATAATTTCTACAACTTTCATTAATTTCGTTAAAAAAAAAATTATAAATACTCTTTAAGTATGAATAAATCTGCGCGCGAAAATGTATCATGGTTTCCTTAGAAAAAGAATCCCAAAGAAGTCGATTTTTTCAAGCCGGATTACCAGGGAATACCCCTTTAATAATATAAAACGTGGCGGGTTCGCAAAACGTGGCCTCGTAAGTTAACAACGAGTCGAATAATTGCCAGATTCTGTAGCATTGTCGTTGTACCTGTTCGCAGATTACAGGCTCTGGGAAGGACAGCGCCGGAATACACGATGAAATGGCGGAGCCAGTCGGTAATCGCAAATACGCACAAGAGCGGGCCATCGCCGGCACCGAATCACGTGCTCAGCTCCTCAGCCGGAAACGGGCCACGGGAAATGCGAATCCTAATTCTGTTCGCGATGCTCCTCGCTTACGCGGTCGGTTGTTGAATGGACCAACTCGACAGACCGTGTTCGTACACGTTCCTGTTCACAATGAGAAACAAAATATTGCGAACGAGCCTAAGATTTCTACTAGCGTACAATTTACGTGTACATATACATACGCCCGCGCGCACACACACAACACACACGTTAAATATATACGAACGATGCTCGCGTTTCCTCGAAAAAAAGAAAAAAAAGAAAAAAGAAATTCTTCTCAGCTATTGTTTCCTGAAAGAAGAAAAATAAACACAGAGTTTAACTCTTTGGAGACGATCTCTGTCGAGATGCTGTTTCAATAAGATTAAATTTCATAGTTATTGTACGAGTGAAAATTAACATCTGACCGGTTTGAAGCCTGCAAAAGTTATCGTTATAACTTTCGAACTTGCGAGAAGTTAAAAAATCTAAATCGTCAAAATCAGATCCTTGAGTGATCCCTGAAGAATTAAGAAACTAAGCAAAGTGTTTAAAGAGCGGAAATGACGATCCCGTAAATTAATGGTCATAATGGTTTCACGTTAGTTCCTTGAGATTTGAAAGTTTAAAACTCAACCATCCAGTTCTCGAAGCGTATTTCCGATGAAATATTGATATCAGTTTGCCACGAAATTACTGCGAGAGCCGTGCGTATTTACATTGGACGGATATTGTTTGAAAATAATTACCGACCAAATGAAACGCGTTTCCTCGAGTCACTTTGGTTGGTAACGTTCAACAATTGATTCGTGAAAGTTTATTGCGAATGGGGAACTCATCGACACAGAACAAACGGCAGAGTAACAGAACGCGTAATTAATTTCGATTAATTTCGCGCGAGACAAGAGCATCGAACACTAATCGAAGGACACGGGAATTCCAAAACGACGTAGCCCAAATTCTCCAAGGTATTTTTTCATCGCCGATGTTTTAGCGTAATGTACTGATGCTAACGCAGTCGCACACTTGAAATTTCATTGGACAAAATTGACGCACAGCCGGACGGAGACGATAATTGGCAAAGAACGAGAATCGAATTTTGGAATTCAACGCTCTAGTCGAATTATATAAAATAAATTAAACAGAGAGAAAAAGAGATATATTATATATATATATAAATATATATACTACAAATCACTCGGTGTATACCACTCGTTTTAACTGTAAGAGTCTAATAGAGCATGTACATATTATACATACATATACATACGTATACATAAATCTATATACAGGGTGAGACGTTCACAAAGAAACGTACGAGATCGTATCTCTCGAGTCTCTTCTTCAAGTTGTTTTAGAATCACCAGGACTCGTCTCGAGATTTCGAAATTTCTTTTTATATATATATATATGGAGGTTTAGAGTCGCATCGACTATACGTGGTCTTTAGCGACGTGCTGGAATTTTCTCTTTATATCCGGTCTAGTAGTTGGGTCTCCTCCAGGTAGTTGATAACGTTTTTTGGTCGTTTCTGGCAGATTAGAGCGGTGTTTTAGTTTAATCCGTATTTACTTCTTATGTCTTCGGTATTTTCTGCATTTCATGTAGCAGGTGTTTGGGTAGATTTCGAAATTTTAAAGCCACCAGAGGACTCTTTTAAAGATTCGAGATCCTTCAAAAAGCTTCTGCGGAATTAAGAGGAGGAAAACGTTTCTTCCCGAGCGTCACATCCTGCCAACGCGTATAAATATAAATATCTAGCGAGTATAAACGTAACGAGAAGAGACAAACCGGGGGGAGGGGAGGGGGGGTTGAAATACGCGATGCACGGATTTGAAGTTAGCGAGAAACCACGTGACATCAAACTCACACGTAAAAATGCCAAAGTAAACGTGTAAGAGGAGGAAGGTTCTATACATAATTCTAGGTTCTTGTACATACGTGGATAGAGTTAGGATTAGAATTTGTACAGAGTATCGCGAAATTATTACGCCTAAGAACGCCACGACGTTATTGTAAATTACGATTTATCGTGAGATATGGCGCGAGCCCAAAGCAAACGGAGACAGATTGTATTTTAACGAACGAGCTTCGAGTGCCCGCGGCACTGTTTCGAGTAACTGTTAACGGGTTCTTCCGGAAGTTCGTCGAAATTTTCTGCCATTCTTCGATCAATAAAGAAAAAGAGACGAGTTGGTCAGCGAAAGCTATGATAACAAGCGAGAAAAATTTTCCGAACGAACGTTTCGCAACTGAAGTTGTTTCGACCTGCTTCCGGAAACGCGACTGATTGTTAGATTAAACCGGAAATAAGGACTAGAACGTGAATGTTTGATATATTTATCGATGAAATGGGAGAAGATATGAAACGAGACAGGGCTGATTGAATTTGAAGAAAAGAAACCATCTAACGTTGCGGAAAAATGTTTCCATCTATTCTCATAAGTTCTCACAGCGTCGCCCACGTTGCTGTCGTTGTTTGTACAGAAACGGTGCTCTTTATTTCGCGTGCCACATACTAAATAACAATCTGTTTATGACTGTGTGGCGCAGCAAATTCTGTTATTTATTTCGCGTATGTCCTTTTATACTCAACCGATAGCGCAGACTGCATTGTTTCACGGCGAAACGGATACCAGAGAGATTTTAATGCCTGTTGAAACATCTAAATAAAATCGCGACAAACAAGTCCCGTGTTTTATGAGATTCGTCGAATCATTACGAACCTTCGACGTTATCAATTAAACTTAATATATATCTATATATATATATGTATTCATTCGGTAACATTTCGAGCTTTCGTTCATTGCGTTCGAATAAATATGTATAGTTAAACGATCCCTCGTCGAGATTTTCGCGAACGAATAACGGAGAAACGCGTTCACTGTTCACGCGTGAAATAATTTGGAAATTTTTGAGACTTCGTTCGCATTAGCGCGTAGAAAGACTGAAATTTTATCAGAGTTGCGATTAAATATGCACATTATTGGAAGGCTGGTAATGATCGATGCGATTAATTAATACAGAGGGTAAGCAGTCTAACGTTGATGTTAAGATTTGTATAATAAACGAACAAGCTATCGTCGGATAGAAGAAGAAATACTCGAAATAGTCTCTTTTCTGCAACCTCGTCGAAACAGAGATGAAAGTCAAAGTGTAATTAATCGACGTTTTACTAAAATAAAAAAGAAAAAAAAAAAAAGAAAAAGAAAAAGAGAAAAGTAGAGGAGTGACGTATTATTATATGGGGGAAAAAAGAAAGAGACGCACGTCGTTTTAATAAGTGTAATTAACGTCGGCCAGGAAGCAGTGGCATGTGATTTAAAGTGACTTGTGTTCGAAATCGGTGAATCGTTTCTCGTCTCGAGAATTCCGTTTGTTCGGTTCGCGGTGAATTCGCGAGGTGAAGTCGTTAAACGAAAAAAAAATCAAGAGAAACGAATGAAATTACGAGTGATCCGTTCATTTCTACGATTACTCGATCATCGTCGTCACAACGATTGTAATGCGATCTGTTCCTTCAAATGAGTGTTACCGGTTTTGCACAAGGCACAAGTCTAAACCTACGAGGAAAAAGATACATGTTACATATATGTACTAGTCGCGTATATTTAAGTCACAATAAATAGTCAATTGTTTCATATAAAGTACGAATAAAATAAAAACAGAAACCACGCGTGCTTGTGATTTTTTTCTTTTTTTCTCACCTGAATGTTTGCCCCGGGCTAGTGAATCTTTGGACTCGATTCGTCTGTGCAATGTTAGAAATATCAGTAATTGAAACTGACGAGCGAAATTAAATTTTCATCTGACGTAATACAAATTTTTCTCGACGTCGGAAAACTTACATTCGATCGATAGTATAAAATTCATCGGTGACCTGCGAAGAGTCGCACAATTCCAAAATTAGCAAAATTGGATTATCCTTTTAACGAATGACGAGTCAGAGTGTCGAATTAGCTAACAAACTCATCCAACTCCTCTCTCCTCCAAATCTCGTTCAACCACACGCCAAAGATTGATTAAATCTTTAGGGTCGATTTGATAAAAAAAGGACGATTTATTCACATACAAGTTTTAATACAATCTACATACATATTTATACATCCTACGGTCGAAAGATGAGAAACATGTGCATCTACATGGATAACACGGTCTGCGGTTTACTTTAGTCTCTTCGATGCAAGGTGAATAGTCTTAAATAACAATTCGCTAATATCCCAATAAGATTGGCACAAACAGAAACGATATTTTTCGAGTTGTTGCTTCGCAAATTGTACTCTCAACACGTACGATTTTACACAGAGTGTGGCAAACATCCAATAAAATTGATCCGTATATACAGTACATCTAATCTCGCTATTTAAAAAAAAAAAAGGAAAATGATCAACGTACGATATATTAGTATACATACACGTATAAACGTTTATATAAACAGGGACGTTGGATATCGTCCGAGAGTTGAAAGTTGGACCTGCTAGCGGAAGAAATAAACATTTCAACGAAACGATAAACTCGACATTGCACACGATCCTCCGTGAGTGCATAGTATAACAATTTCTATAGATTTCAACATACTTTAGATACAACAATTATCTTAATTTATACATCTATCCGTTCGAAACTAAACAACGATATATTTATTGACATTGATTCCCTACAAATATTAAAAGAGCAATCCGCATGAAAATCTTATCGTCGCACGATGATCGTCCGAAACAATTGCCACGATCGAGTATCCATAATTTCTGCACGCTCTGCCCTATCGTGTGCTCACCAAAATCGTGAAAAATAGACAAGCATCGGAGTTTCCCAAACGATCATCCTGCCCCCTGCTTTCTATTGCTTCATGAATTCATTCAAGGTAACGAGGTAACATCTATCTAGGTTTAGAAATTTGTCACACGGCCTCCCTCGCGAATGATACGATATCTTGAATATAACTCTCACAGTATGCGCGTCTCAAAAAGAAACGAGTCGTTTCGTCAAAATATTTCTCTGCGCGCGTAACACTTACAAATCTGTGCGTTTCGAATAACAATGCAAGAGTCAGGGAACTCAGGATATGGTCCTCCTTGAAATTATCACCGCGCACGACTCTTGTAAATACAACAAGCAAGTTGGAAAGGGGTGTCCCTCTATCTTACAAACTTAAACATCTATAAACACAACCGAGAAACTTATCTGTTAATCTATAAAATCAATCAGACGGTTATTTTACATATACATCCATTTTATGGATTGCG